CAGTCCGTTCCAGAGTGACCAGGCATTCGTTTATGGACAGGAATAGTGTAAAGAGATGAGAAATAGTGGGGAAGAAAGCAGGGAAATCCAGACAGGCCCAGAATGAAAGCCAAAATTGGGGAGAAAGAACTTTATGACAAGCTAGAGATGACATGGATGTTGCTTCGTAGGTGTTTAAGGAGGCCAACCTGTGAAAATAAATATATGAAAAGAAAAGGAATAAAAGAATCATGGAGTGAGCAGACCAAAACTAACAGAAAATAACAGAAAATTCCACCACCATATGAAAGCAGGTGGAAAATACATGGAAACAGATATGGCAAAAAAAAGATGCAGACAACGAAGGGGGCAGAAGCCCGAGAAGAAAAACGGGGTTGGGGGAGAAAGGAGACGAGGAATAGGAAAAATGAAAAAGCAGACATAGGGCGACTGAGCAATACAGAAAGCAAAGATGCTGGATAAAAAGCAGGGTTCTAGAGTGGGAGTGGCTCGACACGAAGAGGGGCATCCAGAGAGGGGGAACACAGCGCTGGGTGATAGGAGGGGGTCCAATATGGAGGAAAAGCGCCCTTCCCAGAGAACCATCAGGCGCGGCCCACCCCGGGGCGGCAGCCGGGGAGGGGGCCCACAGATGTGGGTGAGAAGCCAAGAACGCAGCGGAGGGTAGGGAATTACGGGCCCAGGCGCAGGGGTCACCCCCTGAAGCCAAGACGGTGGGTGGGTAGGGGCACACTATGGATCCTGAATGAACGGCCAGAGGTGCAGGTCCCGGAGTAGAGGTACCGGAGGGGGAGGGGCAGGCAGGCCCGGCAGCAGGAGGACAAAATGGCGGCGGCTAATGGCAGCTTCTCCTCCCCCCCCGGCCCGCCACCGCCGCCACCGCCGCCACCACCGCCGCCGCCGCCGCCACCGCCACCGCCACCACCTCTCCCGCGCCGAAAAAGGGCGTCAGCGCACGGCTCACCCAGACTCACCTGGCCGGGTGCGCGGGGATCCGGGACCCGGGCCTAGGGGTTCCCCGGGACGGGATGGCGGTGGGGCGGGGGAGGATGGCGGCGGATGGCGCCGGGTTCGGCTCCTCCCGTCTCCCTCGCTCACTCCGCGGCTGAGCTCCGACTAACGGCCCATCCGGGCAACCGCCGCCCCCGGGAGCACCCCCCCTACCTCCCACCTCCCTCCGCGCCTAAACACGCCCCTTGATTTGCATAAAGGGCGGGGCGCTTTCTACCCTAACTCTCTTTACTTCCAGGGCGGGCCTTAGTTTTAAAAAAAAAAAAAAACGTCGGGCGCGCGGAGCATGCGGAGGTTATTTGCATAAAGAGGAGGGACCTAAGGACACTAGGACGTGGATTGGCTAAGGAGGCGGGCCCCCAGCGTCGGCCGTTGAGACGTGTTGAGGGGGCGGGAATGCGGTGCAGGTCGGCTGGGCGGTTGGGACGCAGAATTTACACGACGAATGTGGGAGAAAGAGGCGGAGCGTGCGTCGGACGTTCGTAGACGGATGGGAGCGGAGAGACGTAGGGACGCCAAAAGTGGAAGGCAACGACTCACGGCCCGTGGCGCCTTCAGCTGGGGAGGAGAGAGAGGACGCGGGCTGGAGGGCGGGATTAAATGCCGGAGGGCGGAGTTTCCGCAGACTTGGTACGAGTTCTAGCTCTAGCGTCCCTTTGCCGTGAATTTGGGGAGGTGGTTGGAGCGGGGGGGAAATGCATCAGAGGGGCGGGGCCTTCCAGTTGTTAAATCACGTCATGCAAATAAGGTGGATAGACAGACCAATCCAAAGGTCCCGGGAGGCGTTTCGCCCGCACCATGTAGCGTAAGCCTTCTTCGGGCAGTTCCATTTATTTGCATAATGTATGCAAATCGTTTGAACAAAGATAGGCTAGGAATGACTTGTTCATCAAAATATGGGCAACCATCGACTAAGACGGACATTTAATTTTATAACCTATAACTTTCGTGAATAAATTTTTATATTTGATATCGGGAATTTGTAGTTTCTTAATGGGTTTCATTTTGTCAAATGCAGTACTGTTTCTCTCCTTTGTCTCTCACTACCCGATTCTAGAGCTCTCTGCTCCCATCAGACCTAATATACCCATTCAACAGATCATTCAATGACTATGATTTGAAGGCGCTGGAGATATGCACAGGACATTACAGAAGTCGAGAAACAACGCCGGGCCTGGTGGCTCACGCCTGTAATCCCAGCACTTTGGGAGGCCGAGGCAGGTGGATCACGAGGTCAGGAGTTCAAGACCAGCCTGGCCAGACCATTTCTACTAAAAATACAAAAATTAGCCTCACGTGTGCAGGCGCCTGTAATACCAGCTACTCGGGAGGTGCTGAGGCAGAGAATTGTTGAACCGGGGAGGCGGAGGTTGCAGTGAGCCAGGACTCATGCCAGTGCCTCCAGCTGGGCGACAGAGCAGAGACTCCGTCTCAAAAACAACACAACAACAACAAAAAAAACCAGAAGCAATGGTACGGTGGCCTAAGTCTGTAATTCCACGCACTTTGGGAAGCTCAGGCGGGGATCACCTGAGGTCTGGGGTTCGAGACCAGGACCTGACCAACATGGAGAAATCCCTGTCGCTTACTAAAAAAATACAAGTTACAGGATGGTGGCACATTCCTATGATTCAGCTACTCGGGAGGCTGAGTTGGAAGATCGCGTTGACTGGGAGGCGGAGGTTGTGTGAGCCGAGAATCGTCCCATTGCCTCTAGCGTGGGGCAACGAAGAGCGAAAACTCATCTAAAAAAAAAGTGAAGGAAGGAAGAAGTAGAGAATAAAATGACTTATGCGCTGGGGTGCCTTGAACATGTTTCCAGAAAAACCTGTTTAAGAGTTTAGGAGTCCGGGCGTGGGTGCCTCAGTATGCGCTGTAGTCCCGGCATTTGGGGAGTGACGGGCTTGGGCAACGATACAAGGTCAAAGAGGAGGCGCAGCCGTGAACATGGCAAACCACCCCGTCTCTTACTAAAATTACCAAAAATTAGCTGGCGGGGTGATGTGCGTGCCTGGTAGTCCTAGCTACCTTGGAGGTCTGAGGGCAGGGAGAGAATGCGCCTGTGAACCCGGGGACAGAGGTGTTGCAGGGAGCTGAGATCACACCACTGTGCTCCAGCCTGGACAAAGTGAGTACTATGTCTCGAAAAAACAAAAAAAAAAAAAAAAAAAACGAAATAAAGTAAATGAAAGGGCT